ACCTCCTGAGAAGGTAACTCTTCGTTTTTCAAAACACTTTATATACAGGTCATTTGTCTATTTGTAAAAAAAACATCTAGCTACTTATATTAGCCAATTGCAATAATGGGATAAGAACGTCAAAACAGTAAGATGAATTCGTTTTATTTCAGTTCATACAATGTGGATAAATAAATAAAAACACCCCGGAAAGGTGTTCTGAAAAATATTTTACATCAAATTTTAAGATATTTAGTTTATGCTCTGAAAAAATACACAAGAAAATATTAATTAAGCAAGTGCGCACATGTAAAGAAAATAGAATATTTCCAAAAGTTTAAGACCAAATTATACTGATGAGATGGATACTGGATTATTGTAGTTTTTAAATAACTAGCTGAGTAATCTGATATCATATAGAGAGGTGGTGATGATTTAATTAAGAAAGAAACATGAGCAGCAGTGTAATTTAAACCAGAGACTTTTGATTAGGGCTGAATAGAAAATCTATCCTAACTAAACCATAGTCAACCTTACCGAAATCACAAGACTTTAATATGTGACGTGTGCGATTAGTGCACGTCATTATATTTGATCGCAGGTAATACTTTTGTGACGGCCAGTATTACCGCTCAGCCATCTAAAAAGGCATTGCGTGTTTTGAATTCGTAACCAAATGGTTTAAAAAAATGAGTCTTTGAACTGCTTAGCCATCGCACCACACCGCAAAAATGGTTTTTAAAAAGATCGATCAGCTACAACACTCTTAACTGATCCTCGTCGTACATTCTATCTTAAAGGGCGTTTCGATTACATTTCCATGAAGACATCATTCTGACGATTTAATCTTCAAGTCTTAGGGGAATTTTTAGAATATATTGAGCAGCAACAGCTAAGTGTTCACGTCATGATGTATTTATTATATTATATATCTTACACATATATATCTAATAAATATTTCTCCGTTGAAATAATGACTTCAGAGAACATTTCCAGGCGCTAAAGACAACTACAATTCGTGATATAAGTTAGCACATTAAAAGCTAGAAAGTATGAGATCAAGTGATAAAGAATATTTGAAGCTCAGGATGAGGATGTTTTTGTGATCTCCGTCTACCTTAGATATCTCAACAACTCCAATATGTAAAGTTTTATAAAATTCATCTTTATAGTTTCTTCAAAGACAAAACCTATAATTAGTAAAATTCGCTTATTCGAATAGTAATAATAACAATAATACCAGTGTCTTTATTTAAAAGGGAACAAGAACAAAAATACGCAAGCACTGATGGACTCCAGTATGATTTAGTAGTAAGGGTTGAAACTTTAAACATCGAGTTTAAACTGAATCTCGGCATAATCAACAGTTTGGCAAACTCAAATTTGATATTTACGTTTAGAAAAGTACCAAAAGAAATATGAAACAAAATATTTTCACACTTAACAACGAACTTCTTTTCAAATTAGTAAGTGATATAGGAATTTTACTATTTATTGCACTCAATTAATTTCAAATTAATAATAATACGGAACATTTAAGTAATAAAAAATTGAATATGTGGACAATAATTTATTTTTGAAGGAAAAGAAATAGAAACAATTATTGAGTTTACATTTGTGAAACTAAGAGGACTTAATGACCAACTACACTTAATACTCTGTAGAAACATGTTAGATCTATGTCCACAAGACAATTATACTTCATCATCTAGCCACGTGGTCAATATACACAGGAGAAATTTGAGCTGACATTCAGATATGACAGTGCCTAACTAGGTAGTTTCAGAAGATCCATTTGTAACTATTTTCACGACCTTCGAGACTTCAGGTATTAAAATACTAGTCTGTAACTAAAAGCCTTTATCTTATTCCTTTTTAGTGCACAAATACGAAAGTTTCCTGATCACAAAGTCAGTCACCCACAACAACTGAATACTTTCATTAAGTAGCAAAATAGAACAAAGCACATATGTGTATTTCAAGACTGGGTTTAAGCAACCTAAGGACCATTTTAATTTTGAAGTTAGAAATCTGAAATACTTGGATTGCGATGTAATAGGTTAGGATAGCTCTCTGAAGACAGATATGTTTGTTTGGGATTCGCTAAATAGGAATTCCTCAATCGACAAATTAGCAACTTTACTATGATAAACTTATACTGCTAACGAACCCTAATACAATACATTGATTGAGGTGGGCCATTTTACCAATAAGTCTACACAAAACCATTGCTGATTTAGTGATAAACAACTTGCACAATGGATAGTTTTGCACGCATTCGATATTGAACCTGATCTTGTTGGTTTTATTGGACACTAACCAGCTGAATGCATTCCTTCAAGCATCATTACAAGATGACCCCCATGAACTGCCCTGAAACCCCTCTCTTGCCGTAGTCAGCCAGTTTAGAAGTCTCAGGTCACCCCACCCCTTTATACGACCAAACACGTCCTTCCTCATAACGTTTATCGTCTTCTTTGTCTTTCGGCCATTTCGATAAAAAGTTGATTATTAGTATTGCCTGATTCTGCCATATCGTATATCCAAAATGACCTTACCAGGTTCGGTAGAATAAGATGACATCTGTGAAACGGATAGTTCTTGAATAGACATATTTCCGCATGTAAGAGAAGTCTTTGATAATATTGTAACCGACCGTCACAAAATGTACAACGAAAAATGGAAAACCCGGTGATCTTTCTGATGTACACCAATTTGCTTCACAAGCATTTCAGATAAAGTTCATATTAAGTAATTTTTACCAGCAAGTAAAACCGAACATCCTGGTTTGATACCGCACTTAGTCACGTAAACAATGCAGAGACCTATATTACTATCTAACTAATCAGATGCACAATAATTACGAGTGGGCTGGTGGATTAAAATCGATTCCCAGCATCCTTGAGTTATATCTTTCAAATGATATACACCTTCCAAGTAGACTGAACCCCACTACATGTCTTTTCACTAAGGATACTAGTCTTTCCTGAACACACATATGGAAGTAATTACATATTGAAATGTGTAATGAACTGAGTCAATTACGCTTTTGTTTGCACACTGATTTAACAGCTCACGATGTACGAAATAGCTGTTCTGTCATATGTTATAGTTGGACAAATAAGATAACTATAATAATAATTGTAGAATAATTCATGTTGACTGTGAATAGAAGTCTCCATTATATTTGCTAGGTTCCATCTAAAGTGCAATTTCCTAGTAGAATTATTTCATTCAACTATTAGCTTCCATAACAACTTCCTCATAGTCAACAAAGGAAATGAAATCTATAAACGCAAAAGGATTATCACACTCCTTAAGTATAGTGAAAGCCAGAGCGGCTTATGCCAATCTGGGCCACCTTTGGCGCCTTCGTGATGTTAGTCTGGCTGTAAAAGGTCGGATCTACAACGCGTCGGTGAGAGCAGTTTTGCTCTATGCTTGTGAAACCTGGCCTCTCCGAGTTGAGGACGTTAGACGACTTACTGTGTTCGATCATCGCTGTCTCCGAAGGATTGCTGACATTCAGTGGCAACACCATGTCAGTAATGCAGAGGTTCGGCATCGTGTGTTCGGGCACAGAGATGATAATTCAATTGGTGTCACCATCTTGAAACACCGACTTCGGTGGCTTGGACATGTTCTACGAATGTCGTCCCAGCGAATTCCACGTCGTGCATTATTTGCCGACTCTGGGACTGGTTGGAAGAAGCGGAGAGGTGGTCAGTATATGACATGGTGTCGTGGCATGAAAGAAAGCTGCAAAGGACTGGCTTCTGTTGGTCCTTCACGACTCCCTGGTTGGGGTCTGAGAGATGGTGCTACACAGTGGCTAGAGACGTTATCAGATATGGCTCAGAATAGGAGCCAGTGGCGATCCTGCTGTAACCTTCTTTTACTTTCTTCATAAAAAGTGGTTGTGTCTCCCTTACCTGAAAGATTTCTTCTGATTGTACCTTTCCGTTCCCTCATTTCTACCATACTACCTTGCACCAATCTCCTCGTTATTGTTCTCTTTTTTTGCGCCCCTTAGCTTTTTTTTCTATTTCTATTCGAATTCTCATTGTTTTGTGTGGCGCATAAATATTGACGCTCTCTTGTACCAATATTCATGTGTTCAAATAAATAAATAAGCAAAGCTCTCCATAAACTAATTTATAACAATGGATCATTGCATAAACGTTAGTGAACAACAGTGACAAGTTAATACCAGTAAAGGGGAAATAATTCGCCTCAAAAACAACGTGGACAAGGCATCTTTAAGGCTACAAACCCCTCGATTATTTACCGCACTGAAGTTCAATGATAGTGCTGTAAGAGGTATGCCTTAGCTGTGAAGTATATAATGTTACCAAATAATTGTTCAATGCCTGATACGTTATCTTGAACTGTAAGATCATTTCGTCCTATCTAAGCCTTAGTCCATATACCAGTAATAAATATACACAAACAAAATAATTAGTCCAGTAACTACTTAACTTGTTTCCTATGAAAAATATACGGTACTCGGAAACGAAAAAGTGTGAGCAATTTAACAGTAGCAAAGACAACCTGCTTATCAATGTTAAAAAGCAATGAAACAAGAGAAAGACCTATGAACCACATTTCTTATAATAGCTAGTTAGGATGTTGATCCGCACAATTATAGACTCAACTTACCATGATTTTGACACCCACCCGGTGAGGAAGAAATCTTTAAATTCCGACAGCACCCGTTACTACAAAGACATTGTTAGGTTTGTTCATTATAATAATATAACCGATTACGCTAAAATACTCGTTTTCATAGAAATTAACATACAAGGCGGATCGACTGGAGAACGACAAGATCAAAAACAGGTACGAAGATGAAGTCTGACTGTTGACCGTACACGACTGTGGTGGAAGAGGTTTACCGCAACCAATATCGGAAGCCATACTGCCTTCTTACAGGAGATGGGATAGAAAAGTCCGACCCTAAAGGAACAGGACATCTTACCTTGTCTTAACACTTACACAGCCTGTAGTAGTCTGAAATCTACGAACCTGACCCATCTAAAACTGCCTACCAAAAAGATTACGAAATCATACTCGCAAATTAACCCACGGATGCTGCCGTCATGTTCAAGGCAATCGATACTTCTAAACCAGTTTCTTTTTCAGGTCCCTTAAGAAGTGCGGTTAAATGGTGTAGGCAATTGAAGTGACAACACCCGTCGAAACTCTAACAGCACTCGGATCCACCTACATTCAAACAGAGAAATCCAGCACAAATGATTGCAACATCCAGGCGTTCGTTATTAAACTAAAGCGTACAAGTAAACCCGGAACATCTGTTGGTACATGGATGCTAAAATATTATATCTTGTTCGTGGGCAACAGCAATAGCGGACTCACCATGGAAATTTTCAGCGGGAAATTTCTAGTCACATGACGGATATGTATATGATCTGATCTGACAGTTGGTCTTTGATTGAAATGTAATTAGATGAACTGACAAATGGAATCAGTTAGATTCGGCCAATGACCGATATGAAACAATCAGTAATTGTACACAAGGCTATCATAAATATCGCAAATAATTTATTTATCTAATGTGGGTTTATGCATTCTACTTTGAGCAGCATCCAAAGACAGTACTAATGACTATATTTATCCGTGTACTTACAGTACTATTCAGTGACATAAATAGCACGTGATTCATAGGACCGACAATTTTTTCCAGTGAAAATTATTGACAAATTTACTGCCTTTTATTTTGCATTTAGACACTTCAAACGTTCTATAAAGTTCGCTGAATACGGATGCCATGCGTATACCTCTTCTAATAGTTTGGTTGCGTCAAACCAGTTTGTTATTAAAAGTTAGTTTATATCCCAAATCATGTCATAAACTTGAAAGGCAACCATTTACGTCTCGTTTATAAATGACATGTGGAGTCATGTTTGACCATCATGTTGGTATATTCGAAGACTTAAAATATCTTAATATGGAAATAACCCGACATACAGACTTAGTATGAATATAATATCATTAACCAGTCTAGAAAATGGAAGAATCCTATGGACTCAAGTTGGCATTGGCGCTATGCGTGAGAAAACCGCGAATGCTGCGTCAATATAAGTGTGATACGCAATAATTCGGCATTTTTATTAAGAGGCATACTTTGTGAGACATGAAGAACCAGTCTGCTGATATTTCTAAAGCCACTAGAACGAACTCTACCTGTACAATATTGACTGACTATTTTAAGGTGATTAGGATATTTAAAAACAAATAAGATCACAATATTTAAACCAATAAGTAGATCGCCAGCCACAATGAGCCGTTGGAATGACAATCTGTAGTCAAATTGTGATCAAACATTAACGTAGTGCCTCGCATACAGTGAATGGACCCTTTCAATTAAAATAATTTTATTCATCAACTGTGGGTGGGACTCGGCAGTAGGGTTCGCACTGGGAACATAGAGACCCAGATTAACGCTCACAAGTTAGAAACTTTGTAAGGAAGTCACATTTCCTAACCCGACACGACTTAACGTCTTCTGGAAGCGACTCCCCAATTGCAACGCAAGTATACCGGAACTTAGAGGAAACCTGCCCACTGAAATATGTACCAACCCTACCAAAAATACATGAAAACCTAGTTATTGAAGTCAGATAGTAGGAGCAAATCGATTGAACCAGTTACGTCATACCACTTAAACATATGCAACCAACCCGTAATACCTGAATTCCATATGCTACATGTCAGTATATACACTATGACAGAACCAGATACGACTAAATCCAGCCCAAGAAAAAGAGAATAGTCATCACGTACCAAAAGTTTATTTGCAACTACGCTGCAGGTACCGATATTTCCCCAGCATTTACTTTCTCGATTATGACTTGAGGAGACTGACCATCAATTGTACAGCCGACCGATCTTGCCGTTCCCAGAACCTCTTTTACTGTTCCAGAAAGCTCACGGGCAATGCTTCTGGGTCTCATCGTTCGTGCAATTTCTATTATCTCATCAAATGTCAAATTCCCATTGTGTTTTATGTTCTTTACTTTCTTCCTATCACGAGGCTCTTCCTTAAGGGCTTTGATTATGAGAGAGGAAGCCGTAGGAACAACACTGATGGTCGCTTGTCGATTCTGGATAGTCAATTTAACACAAATACGAAGACCTTTCCATTCTTGAGTTGCTTTTGCGATATCGTCACCGACTTTTTTAGGAGACAAGCCAAGAGGACCAATTTTCGGTGCTAAAGACGATGTTGCACCAACCTCACCACCAATAACTCTCAGGTAACCTAAGAATCTATGAGAAATTACTATCCAGCTTACAATAAGTAACAGCAGTAGGATCAAGCTTAGGAGGCATGGTAAGCCAGGAACTTGGCGCCTGAATGTAGCGAGAACTAGCGCTGTAACGTATCACGAAAATTCTGTTGAACACTTGGACCAACACCTTGATTAATATACACCAGTTTTTATGAGATCGTGGTGAAATTATCTGCCATTACAGATTCATAAATAAACTGAATTGACTTTTTAATGTTCTGGAATATTCATTCGAAATGTCTTCATTATGAATAAATTGAACACAATGATTATCAAAAGACTAGTAAAGCGAACGGTAAAAACATTTTGAGTAGAGTGGTTTTGCATTATGGTGTTTAGTGACTGTTATCTTGTCCAATCCATCGCAGTTTGGATTTCTGCATCGTTTCAAGTAACGCGTAGTGATTCATTGTGATTTACTGGACTTCGTATCAGGCCAATAAAACACTCTACTGAACACAATAGCACCATAGATGCTTTAACTTACGGATCACACAATACAATTCTTCACTTCACATCTCACGGTTGGCGGACCACCAAATCACTCTGAGTCACCTTGTTGTTCTCCTTCATTATTCATTGGGCGCTATTTCAAGAACAGACTTTTGTTGCTGAGCCTTCAAGTGAATAAACCATATATTTCCCTATCATAGCTTATTCTGCATATTCCAAAATGCAATCCACTGTATCCATCCTCGACACTGGCTTCATCAGTCTGAACATCAGTAGCAATAACCATTTTGAAATATAATTTGTAGTGCACAAGTGTTTTTACAAGTCAGCATGCATCTCCATATGAAATTTTATACCATAAAATACAAAGATTATCGGTACTCATTACTCGACAATATCATCTCATTAGTCCTAGGTTATGACCATCATCATAATCAGCAGCACCACTGGGCATTTTAGCTCACTATTCAAGGCTTGTTGCAATACATCAAAACCATGACAGACTATAAAGTACTATCAAATATGGTAGATCATAGCAATCAAATACTTTCCATTGAAATTTAGACAACACTCTAACGAATGTATATGCGGCGCTTTGTATCATCCATCAGAATAAAATCTAAACGAGACGACAGAATTTCTCAGTTACACTCCCAATAAGGCGAAGATCTCAACGTTTGGGGAGAAAGCGTCAAAACTTGAATTGAAGTCGAAGAGACACTTCTTGTGGATGTTCACTGTAGCGAACATAGTTCTAGTTTTAGTGGCTCTGTATCTGACTTCAAATAGACCGTATTAAAGCTGCTATCTAAATACGCATCGCGGTTACCTCCGTATACAGTCATCGACTTAAATCGCGTTAGTGAATAACGGAAATGAATAAGTCTAATACGAGAAGTGAGTTTTAATACATTTATTTCGTACATTCATCAGTCTGGACAGGCAATCAGGGAAACGAAGTGGTGGAAGCTGTAAGGGGAAAGCGAAGCGAAATAAGTGATGCGCAGTGAGGAAGGTGAGGGATCCATCTTCATTTAACCAAGAGTGATTCAATATTTGTAGCCAGATCAAAAATAAGTTACAGACATGTAATGAATAGGATAAGCAACTAACACATCAACGAGGGTTTGTAAGCGAATAAGTGACAAGGTCAAAGTGTGGCTTGGGAAGAATGAATAAATTGGTCTGTTCATAGGCTAGAATAACCTACGTGGGCTTGACATAGTACCAGCCATTACATTGTAGTACTTACAATGAACTACTGATTATCAATAAACATCAGCCCTGTACAATGTCTCAACTGTGAAACGAATTTGACTGTCAACTATATAGGATTACAGAGCACTTAGACGGGAAACAGTATTATATGAACACCCAATATCACTCATTTATGATAGCCTATAATGTATTATCATATTCACTAGACAACCATGATCACGCCTTTGAGTTGTTCAGATTCGTACTCATAACATCATGTTTGGAGTTTTGTGGATAATTCACATCGAGATATGCTTTTCATAAGAGAAAATATTAACGATCAGTTGATAGACAGTATAGATTCTAAACCATGCAAGTAGCATGGGAGAGTCGTGCTAAAATAATTAGATGAAATGGAATGAATGGCCATCAATGTAAGCGTGTTTTTGGGGTTAAATCTTTGGAATTTTCCGAGACACGCGATAGGACGAGATCAAATTTCCAACATGCGTTGCAAGGCGAGAAATTCGTACTTGACACAGAACGTAAATAGCTAACAAATTTATTGAAAGCCAACAAAAATTCGTTCGAGAAGCCTGATATATATTAAAATTATATCGTTGTTCACCAATAATTTACGGCATGTCAAATGTAGGGGCAGTTGAACAGCAGATATATTATCTCGATTGAAAAGTGATTTTTTATGATTCTCACAATCTGACTCTGCTAGCGCAAAAACTACCAAGAGACTGTAAAATATGAGATATACGAACAAATGAACAGAGAGTTGAACACAAATGAGCTAAAATTTGTACGGCGTGCGGCTAATCAAAGGTAAACCGTCATATGAATTTTTCCATCAGAGTTTTGTCACAGCCACATCCACTGCCTTCTTGCATTAATTTAGATTTGGTAAGTCCTTTACCGTGCTCTGGCGGTTTTTACCACTAACTTACATACTCGGACAGATTCAAAAGGATCCCAATAACCATATCAACAAACGACATCACAGCCAAAACGGTGACCATGGGTGACCATTTTAGTACACCTACTACAAAAACGACTGAGCTATTCAACAGCTTATCGAAACTATTAGGTTCTGACGAAATACGTTGCAAGAATATCATGCTCATGCCAATCAGTTAGTTGAATGTTTCTACCACCAACATAGTGCCCCGATAATTTACTCACGCCTTACTAAATGGACGGAATTCATGTCTTTAGTTGTGTTGGGAATAAGAACAGCTTTTAAAACTGATTTACACTGTCCAACAGCTTGACTGGTCACCTGAATACTTATATATGAGTTTGCTATTCATTGAGCTGAAAATAAAGGGGTCAACCTAGGTAAATAAGTAAATAAACTACAGGATCAGACGTACATTCTTATAAAAATTTACACTAGCGAACATTAGTGGTCCACACACATGCCTAAAACCCTGAATACAAGTAAACATGTCCAGATAAGATGTAAAACAGTAAACACACCACTTAATCCTTCGTTTACAAAGCTATTAAGTGAGGTGATATCTAGACCTACGTGTTTATTTGTACAAAAACATGGAAGCTCAGAAGCAATAATTATTGATTGAGCGAAACGAGTTTATATATACAGCGAACCACTATATGTGACACTAAATAGTATGCAGATACTTGCGACATAATGCTAAATGCAAATTCTCTAAATGGTGAACCTAGTTTAATGTCTAATTTGGTATTAAATGCATTTGCGTTTGTTACCATAATAATAGACCCAACCCGAAAATGGTAAATTTGTCATGATTTAACTATTAAATTCATAAGATCATACATGGAATTCACATCAACCCATCTTAACAGTCAGCAATATGCTGTTTAGTACTTCCGAAGAACACGTCCAAACTGTAGATGGAATGTTTTATTAAATATGAAAAGGAAGAAGTTTAATAAAGTGACGGCACTTTCGTTGCTAAGTCATACCATACCGATTAATTGTTCGCCCGTTCACCGTTTCTGGCCTTCTCTAGGTTGCTAAATCTTGAGCGTAAATCTTCTCAGTTATTATTCGCACGGCTTCAAGGATCATGTGGTTGAGAACCAACAGTGGTTCACTCCAAACAAGGTAAGGTTGTATTATTGATTGATGACCTACCACGGTAACGTATTTTTCAGTAATACAAAGTAGCTTCAAGACAGTACGAAAGTTTATAACTAAATCCTTCATAGGTCAGTGATTAGAGGACTGGTATAGTAAGACTTATGGGGAATAGTATGCTTTTTCGAAACCCAGAAACTTCGCTATTTAGTTGTTGTAAACCTAAGGAATTAAAAAGCAGCCAGACAAACCTTTGAAATTGGTTATTGAAACCATTTCTTGTAATTTTAAATTCACCTTTAAAGCCACAGCTAATTTTAATTGCTTTGAGGAACTTGTAGAAACGATTTACCTAAAAGCTACAAGCAACATACAATCATCAAGAACCGCACTCTTCGCTTACTAAGCAGCAAAAGTCACTGTTGGGCAGAATACAAATGAACTGGTGATAACGGTGCATACAGGCAAGTCAAACAAATAAGGAACATATGCGAAAAGGCGATAGAAGATGAACTTCAGTACTAGACAAAGCTTATTGATAAATTTGTCTCCTATCCGAAAGGCTTATTCCGTTATGCAGTCTCTCTTTGACAAATCACAACTAAAGTTTCCAAACTGCTAGTTCCTAATGGCCCGACCAACAACAACGGTGATGCCACTAATCCTCTGTTTGAACAGTACTCTCGAACATTTCAACCGACCCACACTAGCTATATTGATGGAAGCTTCATCTGCAACTCCACAGGACTTTCAGAAGTGATTCTGAACGCTGATGTGGTGTACCGGGAACCGAAGCACCTAGTGAAGACACTTCTCGGTGTGGATATGACTAATTCTGCTATACTGAGGGAAGCAGTTTCAATCTAGGCCGCATCACATGGCGTGATGTCCTCACATTCGCTAAACCGAGGCACATTATCGGAAATTTGTAAGCTGGCTCGCATCACATCAATTTTTAAAGGAGGTCGACGCAGCGAACCTTCAAGCTACCGACCGGTAACAATACCCTCTATACCTTCAAAAATTATGCAGTCCCTGATATACGCCGGTATACAGGAAAATTTATTATCCACAAACTTCATTCCACTCCAACAGCACGGCCTCAGAAACCGTCACTCTTATATAACCAACTTGCTGACTGCAGGGGACAGATGGATGATAATGTCAAACGACTAGGTATTATTATTATTATTATTATTCACAAACATCTTATGGGTACATAAGTGTTGTGAAGAAACCATTTTGGGTTTCTTCAAAAATGCAATTATACACAAGTTTCAATAACGTTAGCATTATATTTGCCATATTTGATAAAA